TATTCTTTCAACGCCGAGACCAGCTTTGTCACTGCTTGCCCACCCTGAAGCCAACTTCGTTACCTGGCCGATGAGAACGCACGGTAACCAGCAGCTAAGTCAACAGGGACGGTTCACTGTTAAGGGTCCTCGTACTATCGCTCTTAAAATTAAACAGTATGTTTTTAGTAGGAATCCATGACTGCATTAGTCTAGTGGAACATACTAGTTCAGGTGTGTGGAACATATAACAGGAGAAAACCCAGCAAAACTTGAGGGAATTTTAGAAGGCAGACTAGATCAATATGTGCGGATGTACCTACGCCTGGTACCGAGGGGCGGTCCAATTGATAGTTTTACTCTCTGGTGGATTTTCAATCAATTAAAGTGATATTCTTAGGAGCGAATTTTGAACTACAGACTTTGAGGTGAAACGATTTTTTGCGTAATTGCACAGTATAATACAGTTTCGGTTTTCAATTATGCTTTAGAAATCACTTCCGCTTTTATCAGTTGTCGTCAGAACCGAGTTAGGGATTACGAGGTCGTGAAAAGACCGCATTTTTTGCCTGTCCATACCAGATATCCGCCTTTACATGGTTGTGGGTCTGCCATAAAATCACAGGATCGGTAAAACCTGGGGGCATACCCAGCCGTACTGTTAGAAATGGTCTATTTTCTCGGACGAGACGATACGTAAGGCTTTAACAGAGCACTGGAGTGTGTTGAAGAGGATACCAGTTTTCATGAACGCACCACTGACGTACTCTGCTAACTGCCACTTATAAATCGCGACTGTATGTCAAAAGGCATACAAGATATCATTCAGCATTCCAGAGTAAGCACTTGTATGAATTATCTTGAAAATAACGAGCTTCTGCTACGCTAACATTAACAATCACACCAGGCATTGGAAAGTGCACATGTTCCACGGATGGGTTGAGATAGCCGTTACTGAGGTATCTAATCGTAGATTCAAAGTGGTCGTACTTAGCTGATTAGGTTATTGTTGCTATTTACAAACGAAGACCGTTCAGTTCCCTAGCATCGACAAAACTCAACTTTTGAATCAACCCACCCATTCCTCTAGCATTTTACACCTACTACGATTTTTTCACGAGACCGAACTAAACCACAGCAACATATTATACTATTTCAAATCCTAAAACACCAAACATTACCCAAAAATGTACCCAAAAACCAAGGCGCAAGATTCGTTTAAAGATGCCTAGTAGCAAAAGATATTGTGTTAGTTTACCTACTCTTTTAGGTAAATAATTGCAAGCTGTGTCCAAGATGCTGGCCGAAAATGAGATAGTACACTTACATGGGGTATTGCGGTGAGCAAATGAGTGTAAGCCAGTGTTGGATGCAGGTCGTTGCGTAGGGATTTGGTACGGTCCGAAATTTTTCAGTGACCTAAATAGCAAGTAGACGAAAGTGATCCGCGACAGATGAGCATAGCAAAAACTCAATAAAGGATATATTTTCCATTTTAGAAGTTGTTTTACACGATAAGGGCTGGACTGTTCGGCTACACAGAGGCGAAGTTCTGGCGGATGAGTCACGGCTTCCCGATCTGTCGGCTGAGATAAGGAATATTCGAAGTCAACCTGAAGTGGCATCCATTTAGCTGGCCTGACTGTAGGACGAACACAACCGAATCCATTGCTGTATATCAGTCGTGTTAACTGATCTGAGGCACGAGCATGCACCGCCCAAAGATTCCTACAGAGACGAACTGAGGGCTAATCGGCAAGTCAAAAAGGATGCCTTTTATGCGTAGTAGGACAGTTATGGTGATGAGATAGGTCCTTCTCTTTGGTTGCCTGACTGACGTAGTACGACCAAGACCCGCAGGTCCAGCAAAAATAATTGAACTAAACAGTATTTCCTGCTTGCATAGTGCGCATTTTTCAAACGCGACTACAGGAGACACCACGAGCATCAGCTAACTGAGCACGGTGAAATAAGAAATCTTGGTTAGTGTACCATGTGCAGCATAATCTTGCGGAGATTAGCGACACTTCACAAAATAATGTTTTTCAGGTACGCAGAAGCATTTAGAATCCCTCTGTCGCGTACTATTACTGTTAAACTAGGAAACTACAAGAAGTCTGGTGGAAAGGCATCAGCAGGGCTTATAACAGCGCATCTGTTGTTACACTGAAGATTTAGAGCATTAATTGTGCAGCGCTCAGTTCCGCCATGAACCTGTGTTCCGGAAGCTAGATTCAGCCAAGGCGACTTGAAATGGGCCAGAATTTCGTGGTTAAATAGTTTTCAGAAGGCCAAATATGCTCGTTTCTCCGCACAACTAAACTCAGCTATATAAATAGAATCAAGCACGAATTATATAAGTTCCCTGCAGTTGGTGGGTGGTAGACTCCTGAGAGGAGTTGAACCAGTTGGCAAGTCAACCCTGCAGTCCGGTGAGCACAAGGCCAGATTTGCATCCCATGTTAGCCCGAACAACGTTCGCCCACAGCTTCAGTAAGCCCCCTCGACGTGCTCGCCAGCCAAGGTAGGGTTTGTGTGAAATAACAACTGTGATGGGTTTCGTCTTCAGGTCGGTGCAGTACGTGAACGAGCTATCTTCAGGAAATGTAAAAGCCTTTCGCATTCACTTCCTAACAGACTATGCCTCATTGGTTGGATGCAAGGTCGGAGAGATAAAGCTGGAAAATTGTGTGCAAGCATCATCCTACCAAGTTTTTCAAAGGATTGTGCCACGTCCACTTCCAGTTAGGTCTTCAGAGTGACCTTGTGTTAATGTAGGAGATATACACGATGAATAAAGAAAACCCGACTGATCCGATGGTTGATTTCATCATTGTCTCACCCACTCGACAGAGTGCTAGACCCAATAGGACAGCAGCTGTCTGCCAACCGAAGAGAGTCACCGCCTACTGTGACCTCACAGACAATTTTAGCAAGACCCAAGGCGATCGCGTTGGTTTCGGGAGCCAATTTTGGCGCCCATTTCGCTGTGAGGGCATACCGCACTTCTGTTTAAGAAGACAACATTATGAAAAGAATCGAGATCCATGACGTGTTGACCCTAGTTTTATATGACATGCACGTCACCGGCAATAGCATCCGATCTTAATTTTTTGTATCGTTGAGGCAGACAGACCGATGAACCGGTCCATCTTCAAAGTTTCGTACAGTAAACTGGTATTCTGCATACATGAGGTGCGGCTTAGACATCGAGCAGTTTTACCTCAGAGTCCTGCGGAAAGTGTGGCCTGATGACGCGTTTGGCACGCTTGCATAGCGGACTTAGACCGGTGCGAGATGGCAAGTCGTTTTCAGGGTCGCACTGTCAGAGTATCTGCCTCGCCTTGAGCGCGCAAGCACGCATATAAACGCATTCCCACGGCGACTGTATAGTTGTGTACATACATATTCCAACAGTGCAAAAGCAACCCAAGTGCCGGCTTATACTGTACAAAGAAAACAGTGCTACGAGAACGAACAGCGGAAATCTGGCATACCAAATATTGCGCACCTATCTGGAAGTCCATTGTCTGCTGAGAAGAGTAAGATTCACAGCAGGTTAATTGGCACCCTGTAAATTATTCCGCAAAGCAGAGCTCTTTACAGTAGTTTATAGACGTAGCTTACGGGTTGAAGGTTGCGGGGAAATACGACGTGAGAAAAACATTTACTGACCGACAGGAAAGATCGAAAAGTAGCGTGATACGTGAGAAAACCTGCTGTATTCCCTGTTTACGATCACTGTCCTGGACTCTTCCTATTGACACGACAAGATGCAGCAAGTATAATGGAGAGAGAATATGAATACTATGTGTTAGAGGCTCCAGGAATTCAATAAATTTGCGCATATATGAAATAAATTTCACTGATTAGGAAGGAACGTCAAAACTCTGCAGTCCGCCATCTGTGGCCAAATGACAAAGCAAATCGTGTTTGGCCAGTTACATTCGAGGGTGACGTACATTAATCTAGGCGTTATTCAAGACGGAAAACAGACGTTTGACTTAGCTTAAAAACTTATAACTAGAATCGCTGTAACAAATGGTATCGCGTCGAACAATCAGTAATTTAGAAGTTCTGCCTAATCCTGGCTAATCTGGCGTCGTCAATGAGTCATACATAAACTCGGACACAAAACTTAAGGTCGTAACCTGGCCCAATTAAAAACTATATTCTGGTTTAGCCCTTAAGTCCCTCCAGTCTTGCGGTAGGACTGAGTGTTTCATTGACATGACCTACTCAAATGACAGGTGCTAAGAGAAACGTTGTGACTAGAAGCAAAACACATCTTCGAGTCGGACGATTTCGGTATCTGAGTCGGAAACGGACTGCGGACAGCAAAAGTTAACTGTCCAGGTTACGAAAAGCCTAGTTGGGGATGGTCAGAGCAGTAAAAGAAAAACTAGCAACACCCCAAGGAAAGCATGGTCAAAACCTAGATTGTAACAAGAAGATACAGAGCTGTAATTTCAATCATTCTAGAATTCTGTATTTTGTGTGCCTTCTCATTGCCTAACAAGAATGGGCCTAATGCGAATAAGCAGCACACCTTCCAGCCTTGTGTGTCTTTTGCAATTTCTATGATCGCAGCCTAGATAGAGAGGAAACAAAGAGAGATCGATTTACGCCTAAAGTTCGCAATTGTGTTTGGTATGATGGAATCAACTTTCGGCAATATGTGTCGGATACCATAATATTTTAAGTGTGGTCGCAATCGGTAAACCAGGGAGTCAGGCGGAAGTGCCCCATCTGCAGCTGAGTAATAGTCACAAAATTCGGAGTGGCTGTGCTACATGAAAGACCCAACGATAAATCTAACCCCGTGCAGCTGAGCCAAGCAGAGACAGGAAAAAATCAAACCGCGTGTCCGGATTTTTTCTAGTGTTCGTTTTAAACGTAGGCAAAAAGGATTTTGATCTGCAGATTGGGCTGGTTCGTAAAACAGGGTCAGCTTGGTCTGCTGAGTTTTAATAACGCCTCGTAGTAAAACTTTTAGGAAACGTGAAAAAATCCCTGAAGCGTTAAGCGGTAGGAAGAAAAAACAGAATGATCGAACTCACCTGTTCGTTTGTAGTCATTCCGCGCGAGATGATGGTGATATGAAAGATGGTGAGACTGAGGACAGGAATAAAGACTAGGCCAACCAGTGACATCAGAACCATACTAAAGAATCAAGGTCAAGGAAATACATTGCAGTATGCTGTGGCTAAAATCCAATGACTATTTTCAGGACAGCTTTTTGACGCGATTAAACAGAGCGCTTTGGAATGGTGGTCCAGCGAGCTGCGAAGAAATCTGGGCTGCAACAAAAATTGATTTACGCCAGGCCTAATGGCACACCTAAACGAGCGCGCTACTGACATTGTCGGGTGCACTGAGTTAAGTATTGAGTGTGCGTATTCAGATACGCTGCCAAACAAAACCAAAGACTGAACTCATATACACACACCAACCTTCCTTCGCACCTCGCTCTGAGAAAAGTTGGCTCGGACTACAGAACATAAGACGGGCTGTTTAGAACAGGCAACGTGGGGCAGTACGAGTTGGCGTTCACACCTTGTCGGCAATAGCAGAAGCGCCTGCGCATGTGTCTTGCTTTGACTTGTTACGACAAGGAGCTAAGGCTGGCTTTTCGTCGCAATAAACACAAAATGTGGACTAGGCGTGCATCTGCAGGCTGTCAGAAAGTCAGGTCATGTTCAAATAGGCGGAAGAGGTAAAGTCTCAAAATGTTCGTCCAAGCACTACAAACTAACTTTGTATAAAATAAGTAACTTAAGTCATGCAATGTGATGGGTCCGAGCAGATACGTAGACTGGGCACAGATGGGTACACCGTAACGCAGCCACAAGGCATATGTAACTTTTGGGGCATAAATATGCCCAAACGGAGGCACATCGGAAAAATCAGCAGTTATACACGTTCTTGAGCAGCTGAATTCATAATAGCATGTGTAGACCCACCGCGTAAACCGCCCTGCTCTCATTACCCACTCATGAACGTTCTGTACTCCTAGAAATCTTTTCCTACTCCAAAAAAACCTTCAGATTGTTTTACATGCCCTTCGCATGCAAGTAAGGAATGCAATGAGGCTCGGGAGTCAAAATAATGAGGGGACTCGTACAGAGAAAAAGAATGGTAACTAAAGGGGTAAGGTGCCAGCATGATTTTTTTAGCAACAGCGCTAAGGAAATGGTGTGTATTGTGAAACAGATAGTGTGACGTGGAAACATCTGAGAAAATTAATAGCTTAACATCTGAATAGTCTGTAAATTACAGTCACTGGGCAAGTATGTCCACTGAATTAACGGCAGACAGGAGGACAATAAACACGCTAAATCTTTGTGTACGGTGGCTGAAACGGACGATAATGAGCAAGCTACGATCGAAGTTGCATACCGGCTTCATTGAATCACGAATGATGAGGAGATATTGCAATTTTAGTGGGTTGTTGGGGCATGTTATCATATATGGTATATCAAGATCTCAATAAAAAGAATCTTCCATGTCGTTTTATAACTATCCTGCTCAGCACAGTGTCTTGTTAAAGCTAGTAGTGCATGCTAACTTATATTTTTTGCGCAATAAATTGCCCCACCTAATATATTATAGGCTGAAAGACATAACCGATAAAGACAAGCGCAACTGAAATGGCCGTTTCTGGCTCTTTAGCCGTCACCAATCGGTCAGATCTAACCCCAAGTGTTGTGACATTCTAGGCTCGACCGTTCATCTACCATTGTGAATATCCCCGATAGGAACCGACAGGAAAACGAGGTCGTGACGCAGTGGTTAGAGCGTTCGACTTCTAACCAACAGATCGCAAGTTCGATTCTCAGTTGTCGCCACATCTGGGGTTGGATATGACTGGCTAATAACGGCTATAAGTCAGAAATGGCCGTCCCAGCCTCCGTCGTCTTTGTCAGTGTATAATATTTATTAATCTAAATAGAAATGCAGCAACTTGGGGGTTAAAAGTTAAGGTAACTAAGCTGCTAGGAATTCGGTAGTGATTTCGGTAGATCAGTAACCGGTCGATATTATTAAGTCGACATCACGATTCACGGGGGGCAAGTGGCCCGAAGAAGATGAGTTGAAGCAAAATTACTGTTATTTTGGTCAAGGCGTCAGTTTTGACAATACTTTTTTCCCAAACAATAAACAGGGTGCAGTGCGACAATACTCTTAATCAAGTATCTGTGTAAAATAAAACGACAAGGAGTAATTTAGCCAGAGGAAGCTGCAGCTTGTAAAATCCATGAAAGATCGGCTTGCGAGAGTATATATAGAACAGGTTACCAAAAGCAAGGATGGTCAAACAAAAATATGCGTAAAAAACGTGAGGACTTTGGTTTGAAATTGGTATTAAAAGGATACGCAATGATGTTCGTGTGAGTGTCCAGCGGCTGTTCAGACCAGAGCACATAAAACAGGGTCACGATAAACACAGCCACCATGTGCATACAGACCGTAAGCAGGAAAGTAAAAAAGTATCGATAATTCCTCCGGCCGATGCAATTGTTAACCCACGGACAGTGGTGGTCGAAACACTACAAGACGAAAAACAATTAGAGATTGTCCTATGAATTTTAAGTCACCCACCTCAACACACTTGTTGCAAATAGAACAGTGGGTGGAGCGAGGTATGCGATAGAAAAGGCACGTTTTGCACCACTTGACTTTGGCTACCGTTCCGCGGACGTCAAACTCTCGATATAGCGGCGAACCCATGGCTTCATCGAACTCCACCTCCTGTTCTGTGGCTAGTTGGAAGACGGTTGAGAAAAAAAGGTTAGTGAAGCTTACCCGCAGGCAGGAAACCTGGATTCATGAAGGTCGTTCGCGCGAAGGTACAGACCACAAAGATAGCGAAGATAAGATGCACGATAAAGATGGCCCATGAGGTTTGGCTGGCGAACTGGAAGCATCTGTTGATAAAATGATTACAAAGTGAATTAAAAGAAGCATGCTAAGAAGGATCGAACCGGATACTGGGGGGTGAAAATGCATACCACAGAATTTGAAAGTGCAGCATATTCTAATTAGGCAACTTCCAACCTTCTATGTTCGGGCCAGGGTAAGAAGAGATAAGGCGAAAACCTCTGGCAAGCTAATCCAACTTTCATCTTTTCGGGGTTTCGACACAATTTCCATAAGAAAAATTGTCGAAACCTCGCTTTAAAAATATAATTCAGCACTGTGGGCCTATTATCCAAGTACATCTAGGTCTGACTCCCATCCACGCGCATGTCACAGCGCTTGCTTTCCGTTTGCCGTGAAGCATGCGGTGGACTTTGGCAAACTGTCAGGACTACTTGGAGCAAGGACCGTTTCTGTATGAAAATGTCCTTTA